AAAGGAAAAGCAATTCTTTTCCTCATTTAAAGAACAATTTTTCGATTATGGGACTTCCGCCAAGATGGAGGCATAGGTGGAGACACTGTGCTTCCTCACACAACCAAGTTTAGACACAACTAAATAATAGCAACAGAAAACACAGCCAGAACACAGAAAATTGAACTTTTCGGAAGTCTGATAACAACAAATTCTTCAGCCTGACTGGTAAGAGGGGCGAAACCAGCAGCTGGCAGAGAGGGGTAGCACAGGAAAACTCTGTCAGACAGACTCAGGCTCGCGGAATCCAGGCACAGGGTTGGACCTGGTGGGCAACTCAGCAAGCAATCGCGGGGAAACAGCGAGGAAGCAGGGCTGCGGGTTGACTGTGGTCGCACGTTCGCACATTCGTGTGTGGATAGACAAGTGAGGGAGTGGGCGCTTGGATGAGAGCCAGCAGCCCCAGCAGCAAGTGGCAGCGGAGGGCACCGCCATTTCCCCACTCTGACCCCACCTCCACATACAGCTTCATAATCCAGCGACCTAAGTGGCTCTGCCCCAGTGAACAACCTGAGGCTCTGCTCTGCTCTTCACCCAGCTTCGAGAAACAACAGAGGGGGCTGCCATTTCCCCGCTCTGACCCCGCCTTCACATACACTGTCACAACCCAGCGACCTGGGAATCCAAGGCTCCGCTCCTCATACTTAACGGGTGAGAACAGACCAAAAATGGCTCAAGAAGATCTCAAAGCCCCAGAGCCTATAAATCTAAGCAATGAAGAAATACCAAAACTCTCAGATGCACAGTTTAAAACACTGGTGATCAAGATCCTGACAGAACTGGTTGATTATAGCCACAAATTAGACAAATATATGAAGGTGAAACTAATTGAAATGAATGGAATTGCACAGGAAATCAACAGTGATGAAAAGGAAACTGGGACTCAAATCAATGGAGTGGACCAGAAGAAAGCAAATAATTGCCAAACAGAAAAGAGTCAAGAAGCAAGAATTCAAAGAAATGAGGAGAGTCTTAGGAACCTCCAGGACATCTTTAAATGCTCCAACATCTGAATTATAGGGGTACCAGAAGGGGGAAAGGCACAGCCACCAGCTGAAAACTTATTTGAACAAATAAAGAAGGAAAAGTTCCCCAATCTGGCAAAGGAAATACACTTCCAGGAAATCCAAGAAGCTCAGACAGTCCCAAAGAAGTTGAACCCAAGGTACCACACACCAAGGCACATCATAATTACATTATCCAACATCAAATATAAGGAGAGAATCTTAAAAGCAGCAAGAGATAAGGGGACAGTCACCTACAAAAGAGTTCCCATTAGACTGTCAGCGGATTTCTCAAAAGAGACCTTGCAGGCAAGGAGGGGCTGGAAAGAAGTACTCTAAGTCATGAAAGGCAAGGATCTGCATCCAAGATTGCTCTATCCAGCAAAGCTTTCATTTAGAATGGAAGGGCAGATAAAGTGCTTCTCAGATAAGGTCAAATTAAACGAGTTCATCAACACCCAGCCATTATTATATGACATGTTAAAGGGACTTATCTAAGAAAAAGAAGATAAAAAAATTTGAACAGTAAAATGACAGCAAACTCAGAACTATTAACAACTGAATGTAAAAAAAAACAAAAACGAACTAAGCAAAACAACTAGAATATGAACAGAATCACAGAAATGAGGATCACATGGAGGATTATCAGCAGGTACAGGGAGGGGGAGAAAGAGGAAAAAGGTACAGGGAATAATTAGCATAAATTGTAGCTACAAAATAAATGGAGGGAGGTTAAGAATACTATAGGAAATATGGAAGCCAAAGAACTTATATATATGACCATGGACATAAACTAAAGAGGGGGAATATGCATTGGAGGCGGTGTGCAGGGCAAAGGAGAATAAAGGAGGGAAAATGGAACAACTGTAATAGCATAATCAATAAATATGTTTTTTAATGAAAGACTGCTTATTTTCAGTGCAGAGTCAATAAAGAAAAAAGATGGAAAAACTTATTCCTTACTATGTTCTACTGACTTTTTATCCATAAAAAAGGAAAAAGGTGTGCACCTCTGTTCTCTTATAATCAGTATGTTTTAGAGAGAAGTAGATAAAGGCATTTTTATTCCGTTTTTACAATTGGAAGTACTCTGTTTTACATACAATGTTTTACTGTAATCTGTCAAATTTTTGTACTATGATTTTTGTTAACAGTATTAATGAGATAAAATTCACATGCCATTCAGATTACCCATTCAAAGTGTATAGTTTAGTGCCTTTGGTATATTCAGACTTGTGCAGCCAACACCACAATCACTTTTAGAACATTTTCATTACTCCCAAAAGAAACCCCATACCTTTTAGTTATCACCCAACCCAAATTCCCTATCCCCATAGCCCTAGGCAACTACTAATCTACTTTCTGTTTCTATAGATTTATCTATATTCCATATAAATGGGATCATATAATATGTGGTCTTTTGTGACTGGCTTCTTTGACTGAGTGTGATGTTTTCTAGGTTCATTCTTGTAGCATGCATCAGTGTGTGATTCATTTTCATATTCCATTGTATGAATATACCACTTTTTATTTATCCATTTATCAATTGACGAACTTTAAACATTTTTTGTTTATTTATTTATTTATTTATTTATTTATTTATTTATTTAGAAGAGAAGGCAGGGGAAAGGGAGGGAGAGAAACATAGATGTGAGAGAGAAATATGGATTGGTTGCCTTTTGCACATGCTTGGTCCAGGGCCTGAATTTGCAACCCAGGAATGTGCCCTGACTGGATTGAACTGGTGGTGACCTTTTGCTCCCCAGTATGATGCCCAGCCAACTGAGCCACCTGGATCTGGGCAGTTGATAGACTTTTGAGTTATTTTTACTGTTTGGCTATTATGTACAAGATTTGAGTGGACTGAAGTTTTCATTTCTTTCAGATATATGCCTAGGAGTGGAATTGCGGAGCCAAATGGTAACTCTGTTTAAAAGGAACTGCCAGATTGGTTTCCTAAGTAGCTACACCATTTACAATCTCACCAACAATGTATGAGGGTTGTGATTTTTTCAAATCCCAACTAACATTTGTTATTTGCTGACTTTCTGACTATAGCCATCCTAGTGGATGTGAAGTGTCATTCCTGTTTTTAAAAAATGTGTATTATTTTATTTAAAAAGTAAAACAATAATCTCATTACATGTTGATGCCAATAACATTATTACAAAATAACTATTATTTGAAAACAAAAATAAATTAATGAAAGACATATTACTTTAAATTTTTGAAAAAGATTTTTAAATTTAAAAAAAAGTTGTGACTTAGTTGGTTGGAGCATTGTCCCATAGACCAAAGCGTCACAGGTTCAATTCCTGGTCAGGGCAAATGCCTGGGTTACAGGTTCAGTCCAGTTGGGGTGCGTACTCAAGGTGGCCAATCAGTGTTTCTCTCTTGCATCAATGCTTCTTTCTTTCTCTCTCTCCCTTCCATCCCTCTCTCTAAAATCAATAAGGAGAGGATAAAATCAAATTCATTTTTTAATTACAATCAACATGCAGTATTATATTAGTTTCAGGTGTATAGCATAGTGGTTAGACATTTATATAATGTACAAAGTAATCACAATGGTAAGCCTAGTACCCATCTGGTACCATACAGAGTTTATTACACTATTATTGACTATATTACCAATGCTACACTATACATTCCCATTATATGGGCATGTATATATTGTGACTATTGTAATTAATTAGTTAGGAATCCTCACTTGAGAATATGTTTACTGATGTTTTTAAAGAGGAAAGGAAGGAGGGAGGGAGGGACGAGGAAGGGAGAGAGAGAGGAAGAGAGAGAAACAACAATGTTAGAGAGAAATATTGATCAGTTGCCTCCTGTTCATGCCCTAACTGGGGAGGGAACCTGTAATACCTAGGTATGTTTTCTGATTGGGAATTGAATCTAACCTTTTTGGTGTATGGGATGATTCTATAACCAACTGAGTCACCCAGCCATGACTTATTTTATTTTGTAAAAATAATTTTCAAATTATTTTTGAAATTTTGTAATTTTCCATTACAGTTGACACATAATATCATGTTAGTTCCAGGTGTACAACCCAGTGATTGAACATTTATATAATTTGTGAAATGATCACTGATAAATCCAGTACCCATCTGACATCATACATTGACATCATACATGATGGTTACAATATTGACTGTATTCCTTATGCTCTACTTCACATCCCCATGACTGTTCTATAACTACCAATTTTTACTTATTTTTAAAAAGTTATTTATTAAAGATTTTGTTTATTTTTAGAGAGGGGGAAAGGAGGGGAGAAAGAGGATGAGAAACATGAATGTTGCCCCTCATGCACCCCCTACTGGGGACCTGGCCTGAAACACACCAGGCATATGCCCTGACTGGAAATTGAACTGACGACCCTTTGGTTGCCACTCAGTCCACTGATCTGCACTAGCCAGGGCTAAAGATTTTTTTTAATTATGTATTTTATTGTTGTTCAAGTATAGTTGTCTCTATTTTTCTCCCACCACTTTCCATCACCCCACCCATCCCCATTGTTGACACTATTACAGATGCCCCCATTCCCCCTCTTCTCATTTCATCCAACTCCTCCCCCCATTAGCACATTGTTGAGTGTGTCCATGGCCTATGTTTACATGCATATATATTCTTTGGCTAATCTCTTCCAGTTCCCTGCCTCCTCCCCTCTAGAACTGCCAGTCTGTTCCATGTATACATGCCTCTGGTTTTACTTTGTTAGTTTATTTTGTTCACTAGCTTCCACATAAGGGTGAGATAATATGGACTTGCCTTTCTCTGACTGGCTTATTTTGCTTAGCATAATATTTTCCAGGTCCATCCATGCTGTTGCAAAGTGTAAAAGTTCCTTTTTCACAGCTGTGCAGTATTCCATTGTGCAAATGTACCACATTTTTTTAAATCTACTCACTTACTGATGGGCATGTAGGCTATTTTCAGGTATTGGCTAAAAATATGGAAAGCTTCATGAATTTGTATATCATCCTTGCACAGGGACCATGATCATTATCTCTGTATCATTCAAATTTTAGTATATGTGTTGCCTAGTTGAGCACCAATTTGTACTTCTTAATCTCTTCACTATATTCATTCATCTCCCCAACGCCCTTTTCTTTCTGGCAACCATTAAAATGTTTCTGTATCTGTGAGTTTGTTTCTGTTTTAATTTTTTATTTTGTTTTCTAAGATTCTGAATGTAAGTGAAATTATACGGCATTTGACTATCTTTGTCTGACTTAAGTCACTTAGGACAATACCCTCTAGGTCTGTCCATGTTATTGCAGATGGCAAGATTTCACTCTTTTTTAATGGTGGAATCATATTCCATTGTATATATGCACTATTTCTTCTTTGGTGGACATTTAGGTTTCCTCCATATCTTGGCTATTGTAAATAATACTACAGTGAATATATGGATATGGACACATAGGTGTTTTTGATTTAGTGTTTTGGGTTTCTTCAGATAAATACCTAGTAGTAGAATTGTTAGGTCCTTCTTTGTCTCTTGTTATAACCTTTGTTTTAAAGTCTATTTTGTCTTGTATAAGTATCGCAATCTCAACTTTTGTTTCCATTTTCTTGAAATATTTTTCCATCCCTTTACTTTCAGTCTGTGTGTTTCAATCTGAAGTGTGTCTCTTTTAAACTGCATATGTAAGGGTCTTGTTTTCTTATCCATTCAGCGATACCACGTCCTGTGATTGAAGCATTTAATCCGTTTGTATTTAAAGTAATTGTTGATAGATATGTATTTATTGTCATTTTTCAATTTTTATTGTTGTTCCTTCTTAAAGAAGATTGTTGGACATTTTTTGTAATACTGGTTTGGTGGTGTTAAAGCTCTTTAGCTCTTTCTTGTCTGGAAATCTGTTGGGAGCCATCCTGCCTGTTTTCAGGGACTGTATGGCCTTTGTCCCATGGCTAGAGCTGAGTGAAAAGGCCTTGGGGACATCAACTACTAAGGAGACAGAACATTATTTCCTTGCAGGAGCACAGCCCCTACCTCCCTCACTTCCCCCTGCTTGGCCCAGGAGGATGACAAGTTAGTCAATGATGGATAAGATCCTTCAAAGGAGAAGGGACAACCTAAGACAGGCTTTGTTGCTATGGTCCACCAGGGAAGGACTTAGGGGTCTTCGGAGAAGGGGCAGAAAGACTCTCACCCCTTGGTTTTGTCATAGCCTGAGTCCTCAATCTTTCTGAAAAGTATCCTAGTCTTTTGGCTGCTTTGCTCTCCCTGCCTGACTCAGCCTGGGAACTATGCCAGAGACCTTGTACTGGATCAGATGGTGCTCCCAGGGGTGGGGGTGAATCTGGCCAGAGAAAGAATATACATTGTTTCCTTTGAGACCTGTTCTACCCTATTGCTATGAAACAGACACTTGAGCAAAAGCCAATCCTGACCAGAGAAAATCCCTGTGTTTCTTCAACTAGTATCTGTAAATGATGTCAGTAGCACTTTGAGCACTGGTTGATGAGCTTTATGTGCATACTATATATCTCTGAGCTGAACCCAATAAAAATGCAGGGAAGAAGGTATCCCCCTTTGAGGGACTGGTCACCTTTCCTCCCCAAGCAAATCACACATTGGGCGTTTTTATTTCTCATCTGCGACGACCAGGGGAGTTGTGCTGGTGGAGCCTCCCCATCAGGAAACTTTTTATTTGTCCTCAATTCTAAATGATAGCCTTGCTGGGTAGAGTAATCTTGATTGTAGGTTCCTGATTTTCATCATGTTGGATATTTCATGACAATCCCTTCTGCCTGCAAAGTTTCTGTTGAGAAACCAGCTGACTCTAATGGGAACTCCCTTGTAGGTAACTGTGTCTCTTGCTGTTTCACGATTCTCTCTTTTTCTTTAACCACTGACATTTGAATTATGATGTGTCTCGGTGTGGGCTTCTTTGGGTTCATCTTTGAGACTCTGTGGTTCCTAGACTTACATGTCTTTTTTTATTAACCAGGTTAGGGGCATTTTCAGTCATTATTTTCTTGAATAGGTTCTCAATTCCTTTCTCTCTCTCTTCCCCTTCTGGTACTTCTATGATAAAGATGTTGTTACACTTCACATTTTCCCAGAGGTCCCTTAAACTCTCCTCATTTTTTAAAATTCTTTTTTTCTTGCTGCTCTGGTGGGGTGTTTTCTGCTACATTATTTTTCAAATTACTTATTCAGTCCTCTGTTTTATCTAGTCTGTTGTTGATTTCCTTCTAATGTATTCTCCATTTGAGTTACTGTATTCTTCATTTCTGACCGGTTCCTTTTTATGATTTTTATGTCCTTTTTTAATGCTGTTAAAGTTCTAAGTTCCTTAACCATTGTTTTGAACTTTGTATCTGGTAGTTTGCTTGACTCCATTTATTTAGATCTTTATCTGGAAATTTCTTCTCTTTTTTCACTTGGGACATGTCTTTGTCTCCCCATTTGGCTGCCTTTCTGTGTTTCTTTCTAAGTATTAGGTAGATCTGCTATGTCTTCTAGTCTTGGTACGGTGACATTACATAGTAGGTATTCTTGTAGGGCCCAGTGGTGCAGCTTCCCCAGTCACCAAAGCTAGGTGCTCCACTTGTGTCCCATGAGGGCTGTGTGCACCTTCCTGTTGTAGTTGAGCCTTGATCGCTGGTGTTGGCAAGTCAGTGAGAAGGTTTGACCCCCAGGCTAATCAGCTATAAGGATTAGCCATGAGTACAGTGAGGAGACGCTCTGTAGGGGCTGACCCCACAGAGCAGAACTTGCTTCCGTGGGGCTCTGTGGCTTACTGAGTCAGCAGCCTGTTGAGTATATCTCTCATAGAGGTGTTTGGGTAGTGCTCCAGCATGGTCTGAAGTAGCCCACTGGGTGCACTGGCTCTAGAGCCCTCCAGGAGGTGCAGGTCAAGGTTAATTGACAACTGTGCCCTATCTTGGGCCAGCTGGCAAGGTCTCCAAAGTGGTATGCAGATGGTTGGTATTTGTACTGGCCTTAGAAGTGGCTAGGTGGCTTTTCACAGCCTAGTTGCAAATGAAGTCCTGCTGCTGGTGCTCAGTCCACTGAGTCACACCAGGCAGGGCTGAGAGAATTTAAGAGGATCTGAAACATGAGCCAAGACAGGTCTTTGGTATGGAAAAGCCACCGGAAGAGGCTTGGGAAGGCCTGAAACTTGGGTGGGGCAGGGTCTCAGGGACTCACCAGGACAGGGCTAACAATGTTAATTGGGTTGATGGAGACTCAGATATGACTCCTGCATGTGCCCGCAGTGGAAGGGCTCAGAAGAGAACAGTGGCTTATGTCAGCACTTCTGTTAGGGAGAAAGCTGCTTCTCCAGCCTTCACCCCAAAGGTAGACCATTCAGTTCCTCTTGGTATGTCTCTGGCATTTGAAGCTGCTGTCTCAGTGCTTGAGCTCAGAGTGAGTCTGAGTAAGTTTGTGATGGGCCCTTTAAGAGGAAAGCCTGGGCCTCCAGGAACCCTCCCTCTCACTCAACCACAATCTCCACTAGTTTTTACAGCCTGAAGTTATATGGATTTCTCTTCCTGGCCTTGAAACCCTGTGCTAGAGACCTAATGTGGGGCTGGAGCTCCTCATTCCTCAGCAGGGACCTCCACAGTCAAGATATCTTTCCTGGTTTTTAATTGCCACATGTGAATGCAGGACCAACCTATTCTGTGTCTTTGTCCCTCTTATGAGTCTTGACATGGTTTCTTTATATTCTTAGTTATAAGACTTCTGTTCAACTAAATTTCAGGAAGCCCTCAATTATGGTTGTTCTGTAGTTTCGTTGTAATTTTGATGTGGTTGTGGGAGGATGCCTGTACCAGGTTTACCTACTTTAGCATCTTGACCAGAAGCCCCCTTGTGGTTTTGATTTGCATTTTCCTTATGATGGGTGATATTAGGCATCTTTTTATGTGCATTTTGGCAATTTGTACTTTCTTTGGAGAAATGTGGGTTCAGATCCTTTGCCTAACCAACCATTGCATTGTCTTTTCATCACATATATTCTAGATATAAATCTCCTATCACATGATTTGCAAATATTTTCTCCCATTCTATGAGTTTTCTTTTTTAATATATTTTATTGATTATGTCATTACAGTTGTCCCATTCCCCCTTCCTTCCCCTATACCCTGCACACCCCCTCCCACCCACATTCCCCCCTTCAGTCCACGTCCATGTGTCATAAGTTCTTTAGCTTGTACATTTCCCAAACTATTCTTGCCCTCCCCCTGTCTATTTTCTACCTACCATCTATGCTACTTATTATCTGTACTTTTTCCCCTCTCTCCTCCTCCCACTCCACTGTTTCTAACCCTCCATGTGATCTTTGTTTCTGTGGTGCTGTTCCTGTTCTAGTTGTTTGCTTAGTTTTGCTTTTATTTTAGGTGTGATTGTTAATAACTGTGAGTTTGCTGTGTTTTTACTGTTGATGTTTTTATCTTTTTCTTAGATAAGTCCCTTTAACATATCATATAATAATGGCTGGATGTTGATGAACACCTTTAATTTGACCTTATCTGAGAAGCACTTTATTTGCCCTTCCATTCTAAATGAAAGTTTTGCTAGATAAAGTAATCTTGGATGCAGGTCCTTGCCTTTTATGACTTGGAATACTTCTTTCCAGCCCATTCTTGCCTGTAAGGTCTCTTTTGAGAAATCCGCTGACAATCTGATGGGGACTCCTTTGTAGGTGACTGTCCCCTTCTCTCTTGCTGCTTCTAGGATTCTCTCCTTCATTTTAATCTTGGCTAATATAATTATGATGTGCCTTGGTGTGTTCTTCCTTGGGTCCAACTTCTTTGGGACTCTCTGAGCTTCCTGAACTTCCTGGAAGTCTATTTGCTTTGCCAGATCGGGGAAGTTCTCCTTTATTATTTGTTCAAATAAGTTTTCCGCTTGTTTCTGTTCCTCTTCCCCTTCTATAGTCCTATAATTCAGATGTTGGAACATTTAAAGATGTCCTAGAGGTTCCTAAGCCTCTCCTCATTTTTTCGAATTCTTGTTTCCTCATTGTTTTCTGTTTGGTTGTTTCTTTCTTCCTTCTGGTCCACTCCATTGATTTGAATCCCAGTTTTCTTT